GGACTTAATACCTAGGTGATGGGTTGATCATGACACTTATCCACCTACGTATCAAACCTATACATCCTGCACATGTACCCTGGAACTTAAAATAGAAGTTGAAAAAAAAAAAGAAAAAAGAAAAAGATGCTGCTTTTTTATTAAACTAAAACTAGAATTTAAAATAGGTTTGAAAAGAAAAAATTCTGAGCAAATATTTGAAGAAATAAAGGATTCTATTACAAAGATAGCAATTAAATCTATGAACCCATAGATCTGAGAAGGAAAATGAAACATCTAAAAATGAAAACATAAGAGTTGAAATTAAAAACTCAACCAATAGGCTAACTAGTAAACACATCTAAAGGAAGAATTAATAATGATAGGTCTTGAGGAATTACACAGAATGCATTACAAATAAATAAGAAAACTGAAAACTTAAAAGAGGTATAGGGGACAGAAAGAGAAGGTTAACATAGACTTAGCCAGAGTTCTAGAATAGTAGAATGACAGAAAGGTGAAGAGGCATAATTGAAAGACATGTCATAATTTTTGAGATCCAATAAAAGCAGGAATCTTCACAGATAGAGAAATCAATATATTCCAAGTAAGTTCAATTGAAAAGAAAATCCAATCCTGGAAACACAAAGCTAAAAAAAAAAAAAAACAGTTGGAATGACAACAGTAAAAATGAACGTTATGAGAAAGTGGGAAAAATCTCTTCAAATTATTGAGAGAAAAAAACTGTCCACCTAGAATAATGTATTCAGCTAACCTGCCTTTCAAGAGTGTACAAAATAAAGATGTTTAGACAAACCCAAACTGAGAAGCTGTATCAATAATATATATTCAGTATATTAATAGATAGGAAGAAGAGAAATTACCCCCAGAAGGATGATCTGAAATACAATAATAAAAGATGAGCTATGAACAAATAAAGTGATAAATGTTTTGTGAATAGAAGCAAACATTGACTAAATAATAATTTTAAAATATGAATGCATTAGTCTGTTTGTACACTGCTATAAAGAACTGCCTGAGACTGGGTAATTTATAAAGGAAAGAGGTTTAATAGACTCACAGTTCAGCATGGCTGTGGAGGCCTCAGGAAACTTACAATCTTGGCAGAAGGCAAAGTGGAAGTAAGGCACCTCCTTCACAAGGCATCGGGAAGGAGAATGCCAAACAAAAGGGAAGAGCCCCTTATAAAATCATCAGATCTAATGAGAACTCACTTAGTATCCTGAGAACAACATGAGGGAAACTACCTCCATAATCCAATTACCTCACCTGGTCTCTCCCTTGATACATGGGGATTATGGAAAGTGTAATTCAATATGAGATTTGGGTGGGGACAGAAAGCCTAACCATATTACTCTACCCTTGGTCTCTGCAAAATCTCATGTCCCTGTCACATTTTAAAACCAATTGTGCCTTCCCAACAGCTCCCTATTCTTCACTCATTCTAGCATTAACCCAAAGGTCCAAGTCCAAAATCTCATCTGAGACAAGGAAAGTCCCTTCTGCCTATGAGCCAGTTAAATCAAAAGCAAGTTAGTTACTTCCTAGATACAATGGGGGTACAGGCATTGGGCAAATACAACCATTCCAAATTGGAAAAACTGGCCAAAACAAAGGGGCTACAAGCCCATGCAAGTCCAAAATCCAGCGGGGCAGTCAAATCTTAAAGCTCTGAAATGATCTCCTTTGACTCCATATCTCACATACAGGTTACACTGATGCCAGAGGTGAGTTCCCATGGCCTTGAGCAGCTCTGCCCATATGGTTTTCCAGGGCACACCTCTCCTTCTGGCTGTTTTCAAAGGCTGACATTGAGTGTCTGTGGCTTTTCCAGGCACATAGTGCAAGCTATCGGTGGATCTACCATTCTGGGGTCTGGAAAATGGTGGCCCTCTTCTCACAGCTCCACTAGGCAGTGCCCCAGTGGGGACTCTGTGTAGGTGCCCTGACCCCACATTTCCCTTCCACACCACCCTAGCAGAGGTCCTCCATGAAGCTGTCACCCATGCAGCAAACTTCTACCTGGACATTTAGGTATTTTGATACATCCTCTGAAATCCAGGTAGAGGTTCCCAAACCTCAGTTCTTAACTTCTCTGCACCCATAGGCCCAACACCACGTGTAAGCTGCTAAGACTTGGGGCTTCCACCCTCTGAAGCAATGGCCTGAGCTGCATGTTGGCCTATTTTAGCTAAGGCTGGGACCCAGGGCACCAAGTCCCAAGACTGCACAAAGCAGCAAGGCCCTGGGTCTGGCCCATGAAAACTTTTTTTTTCCTAGGCTTCTGGGTCTGTATGGGAAGGGCTGTTTAGAAGACCTCTGACATATCCTGGAGACATTCTCCCTATTGTCTTGGCAATTAACATTTGGCTCCTCGTTAGCTACGCAAATTTCTGCAACTGGCTTTAATTTCTCCCCAGAAAATGGATTTTTCCTTTCTACTGCATTGTCAGGCTACAGATTTCCAAATTTTCCAAATTTTATGCTCTGCTTCCCTTTTAAACATAAGTTCCAATTTCAAACAATCTCTTTGTGGATGCATAAAACTGAATGCTTTTAAGAGCACCCAAGTCACTTCTTGAATGCTTTGCTGTTTAGAAATTTCTTTCTCCAGATACCCTAAATCATCTCTCTCAAATTCAAAGTTCCACAGATCTCTAGGGCAGGGACAAAAAATGCTGTCAGTCTCTTTGCTAAGGCATAGCAAGAGTCACCTTTATTCCAGTTCCCAGCAAGTTTTGCATCTCCATCTGAGACCACCTCAGCCTGGACTTCATTGTCCATATCACTATTGGCATTTTGGTCAATGCCAGTCAACAAGTCTCTAGGAAGTTCCAAACTTTCCCACATTTTCCTGTCTTCTGAGGTCTCCAAGTCTCTAGGAAGTTCCAAACTTTTCCACATTTTCCTGTCTTTTTCTGAGCCCTCCAAATTTTTCCAACCTCTGCTTGTTACCCAGTTCCAAAGTCGCTTCCACATTTTTGGGTATCTTTATAGCTGTACCCCACTCTCTACAATATCAATTTACTGTATTAGTCCCTTTTCATGCTGCAATAAAGAACTGCCAAGACTGGGTAATTTATAATGGAAGGAGAGGTTTGACTCACAGTTCAGCGTGGCTGGGGAGGCCTCAGGAAATTTACAATCATGGAAGAAAGTGAAGGGGAAGCAAGGCACTTTTTCCACAAGGCAGCAGGAAGAAAAATGACAAAATGAGAAGAGCTTCTTATAAGACCATCAGATCTCAAGAGAACTCACTCACTATCCTGAGAAACGACCACCATGAGCCAATCACCTCCACCTGGTCTCTCCCTTGACATGTGGGGATTATGGGGATTATAATTCAAGATGAGATTTTGTTGGAGACACAAAGCCTAACTACATTAAGTAATGTCAAAATTACGGAGTTGAAAAAAAGGATACTATTAAAATTCTGGACAAAATTAGCACATATGTTTAGGGAGGATTAAAGTATCATAAAGTCTTTGTATTTTTTTTTAGGAGAGGGTTAAGATAATGATAATTCTTAAAGTATTATAAAGTCTTTATATATGTTTTAGGAGAGGGCTAATATAATAATAATTCTGACTCCTGGTAATGGTTTGCTAGGTTATTCTGATAATATTTGTTAACCTAAAAAGGAAGAATGAACAGGTTAGAAGCAAATAAACATTTATTCAGAAAGAGGGATTACAACCCAGTTAGCAGCCAGAGATACACCACCGGAAAGAGGAAAGAGGGCTTACATTGAGAAAAACTTAGTTAGTTTAGATTTTTGTCAGATTATTTAATTAGTTGATTAAACATGAAGAAATTACATCAGTTAGCCAGAAAAGCTATATAAATAAAGTTCTTAAAGATAGTGACCAATTTCTTTGTGATGTGTACTGTTGAGAGTACAAATATTTGTGAAGGAAGTGTTACTTTGTAGATCTCAAAGTTCATCGGCAGTATTAATGTGAAGTCAGAAGACCAAGATGAAATTACTGATGTCAAGCATGGAAAATTGATAAGCTTACATTTTCCTCATTTGATCAAGATATTTCTCCCAGGAGAGAATATCTGTGATCACAATAGGTCCCTAGACACTGACGAAAACAATGCTGCATGAGTTCCATCTTGTCCTGCAAAAGCCAGGGCGAAGTAAGCCTATCCATTCTGGGTCCCTGGCTCACAGGGAAGTGAATTTACAAGCTATTTCATAGACTCAGTCAAGCTTATTATTCTAGGTGCTGTAAGTTCCTTCTAGATGTTCAGAACAGGCTACAGGAATCTGGGCCAACATCAAATCAGTGGCAGTATTAGTGCTTGTTCTAAGCATTGACACAAACACAGATCAACAAAAATATCAGAAACAATAATGTTTTCCAAGAACTTAGTGAACAGTTTTAAAAAAGAAACAATAATGTTATAATGATACCAAGTTGTAACAGGGATCTAGCCCAGGAACATATCCTTTCTGGTAACAACTAAATAAGTCAAAGGATGGCTTACCAATACATGGCACTTGTCTTAGCCAACCTGCCTAAACTTTAATTTTATTGAGATCCAGTTCAACTACTTCAGAGGCATTTTCCCAAGTATAACATAAGTTGTGAACTATCCCGCAAACATTTCCCTGTACTGCCAACAGATAATCTGAAGTAATTCTGTTATTTAATACAGTTGCTGCTAATGAATTTAAAGATTGCTGCTGAGTGGCAATAGTGTTGACAGTTGAATTGGCTAGTGTATTATTACGTTTTCACACTGCTATAAAGAACTTCCCAAGACTGTGTAATTTATAAAGGAAGAAGGTTTAATCGATTCAGTTTCACATGGCTGGAGAAGCCTCAGGAAACTTACAATCATAGTGGAAGGCAAAGGGGAAGGAAGGACCTTCTTCACATGGTGGAAGGAGAGAGAAGTGAGCACACAAGAAAAGCTACCATTTATAAAACCATCAGATCTTATGAGAATTCACTCACTATCACAGGAACAGCATGGGGGAAACAGCCCCCATAATCCAATCACTCCCCTCCCTCAACATGTGGGGATTACAATTCGAGATGAGATTTGGTGGGGACACAGAGATAAACCATATCAGCTACGTTGCCTAGGATTTGAGAGAAATTAGTAATCATGATCATATTTCTCCATGTTCTACTCCAGGCAAAATAAAAACACTAATTGGACAGAAGATGACATATTTATGCCTCAGGTCCTCTAGGAGTTTCCCTTTTGAAATAGGGTAAATGTAATCCTTCTGGCCAGAAGAAGGTGTTATTGGAGGGAAAAATGAGATATTTTAGTGACATGAGCACCCAAAGTACACTGACTTGCTAATGACCAAGAGTCAAGGAATTTTCTTCCCCAGCATACAAAAGGATTTGGTCCTCATTCACAAATACATAAACATAAGCACACAGGCTTTTAGCACTTTTGAAGGGGTCATTTTGAGGTACAGTCTGATTTGCTGTTACCAGTCAGTTTTCAGAGTGGGAAAAATTGCATAAAGACCAACTTTGATTAGCATTTGCAAAACCAAAAATGACAAGCTGGTTTTCTTTTTGCATTTTCTCCTGAGAAACAAGAGTTTTAGTTGTTGAGTTATAGCAACAAGTATTCTTTTTCCATGCTTAAGAGAACAAGATCAAATTGAAACGGTAGGTTTTTTGTCCTAGTTTCCCTTTATGTGCATCCTGATAATAAATTATGTTTGCATATACCGGTTCTACTGTGGCATTGGGAATTCCCAAGCAGTTTGTTATTGAAGTTACTCATGAATCATAGTGGAAGGACAAAGTTTTATAGCAATCATGGCAGATCCAATTAGAAAAAGTAACATATGTGACATTATTGACTAATTTCCTTAAGGCATTTTCATTCCAAGCATTTATAACTGATACAACAGTTAAAGAAATAACACAATCATTGTTTATTATAATTTTGTTGAGCCTTTTCTAACAAATATGCAGCAAAAATCTCACATAAATGTCAACAGTTAACACAACCTCCATAGCAAATTTTCTGCTTGTCGTACTATACAACTAGTCACTTTGAAGATTTGATAAGTTGAAAGGTAAGGTTTCCTGTTGAAGTTGTCCTTGAGGGTTGGAGTGCTTTCGTAAGGTGTGAAATATGGATCCAGGAGTTTATTCTCTGTAATTTGGAAGTACAAAGATTAGTTAACAACACTTGATAAACTTCATCTCATCAAGTTTCCAGAGAAGATTTGGATATAAAGTACTTCTTATAAACAAAGTCTCCTGATTGGATATGATGTAGTGTGTCATCATCTCCTAGAAGTTCTATCATAAAGCATTATTTATAAGTTGATAGTTAACAATTCACTTGGGTGATTAGTCCTTTGCAGTACTGAAGTATTGGTCCTTTAATAAGGATGGAGTCAGAACGAACTAAGGGTGATGGCATAGATATGCCTATAACTGTCTCACAAGAGGCTAGGTGATTTTTTTTAAGGGGGTAGCTCTCAGATTCATCAATACTAATGGTAAACAGTTTGGCCAAGGCAATTTAATCATACACATATTTTCCCAATTGGGTTTTTACTATTCCATTAATTCTTTAAATGAAGCCTGAAGATTGTATACACAATGAAAGTACTAAAATATAGGTTATGCCTTGCCTATAGTTGGAATTGGAGACTCTGTCTCGTGAAATGTGTATGCTGGTTTCTGTGTAACTCTTTACAAACACCTCAAAAAGGTGTTATTTTTTCTAGTACCACTTTCACTACTGCCATGACAGTTGTTTTATGACAAGAGAAGGCTTCTGCGCAATTTGAATACATGCAGACCATAACCAAAACATACTTGTAACTTCAAAAGGGAGGTAACTGGATAAAATACAATGGAAATACTTCAAAGAGGACTTCTAGTAGGTCAAATTTTCCCCTCAAAACTTTTATGGGTTTTCCCAGGTTAAACTTTGGACAGGTTGTACATGTGTTATATACCTATTCTGCCTCAGAACAGAATTTTCCCCACCAATATTGTTTTGCTTATTCAAACATTTTATCATCTCTCCAGTGAGCTAAATCATGGAGTTTTTCTAACAAACACTTTGCTAACATTCTAGGTAATATAGGTTTTTTCATTGAGACCTTTCCAGAGATCCTTTTGTGTATTTAAATAGTAGTCTTGTTATTTCATTTATTAATTTCATTGACAAATGTATGTTGTTGTGTATGTCTTGTTATAGTTTCCATGGATTCCTCAGGGGGCATAATGAGAGAGGATGCCAGTGAGGTCATGGGGCACATATTTACACTTAGTTTGTAACAAAACCAGGAGTCATAGCTACTCCTATGATCAGCTAATTCATTTCCTTTTGCCTCTTTAGTATCTTTAGTGCAGTGGGCTGGTACCTTATTAATAGCCATTTCCTTAGGTAATTGGTAATTGAATGGCACTTAGTAATTCATTAACTAGAGCACCATTTTTTATGTGATGTCTGGATGAAGTTAAAGACCTCTCTATTCAGACAAGACCATAAGAGAGAGACAGAGAGAGAGAGAGAGAGAGAGAGAGAGACAGAGAGAGAGAGAGACCTCTCTGTTTCCAAAGCATTCCAAAATTATGGTCAACACCAAAAGTCTGTCAATTATCTGTGTGTGTGTGTGTGTGTGTGTGTGTGTGTATATATATATACACACACACATATATGGTGTGTTTTCTGGACATAGTGCAGGTCCAAATTATTGCATATAATTTAGCTTGCTAAACACTCATATATGAAGGAAGAGTCCTACCCTCAATTTCATGTTCTTTTGAGGCTATAGCCTACCTGGTTTGTAAATCTCCATCCTTGTTTTTTAAGTCAGCAGTCGTTTGTAAACCATTCAAAAATCAGCATTTTTTAAACTGTAATTATTTTAAATCAGGTCTTGATATGGTTATGTGATGGTTAATACTGAGTGTCAACTTGATTGGATTGAAGGATGCAAAGTATTGTTCCTGGGTGTGTCTGTGAGGGTGTTGCCAAAGGAGATTAACATTTGAGTCAGTGGGCTGGGGAAGGCAGACCCACCCTCAATGTGGGTGGGCACAATCTAATCAACTGCCAGCATAGTCAGAATAAAAGCAGGCAGAATAATGTGAATAGACTAGGCTGGCTTAGTCCCCCAGCCTACATCTTTCTCCCATGCTGGATGCTTCCTGCCGTCAAACACAGGACTTCAGCTTTGGAATTCGGACTGGCTTCCTTTTCCTCAGCTTGCAGATAGCCTATTATGGGACCTCACCTTGTGATTATGTAAGTCAATACTCCTTAATAAACTTCCCATTATATATGAATCTATCCTATTCGTTCTGTCCCTCTAGAGAACCCTAATACAGGTTATGTGATTGGTATAGGCTACACAATCACATTCTAAGAGGTCTTGTAAACCTGATGGTTAAACATCAGCAGTATTAAGATTGGTGGTTTTAAAGAATGTTATATTCAGTGATGAGAGAAAAGTGAACTCACTGTGTGAGGGGGCTTTTAGGTAGATTATGAGTATGTTGGGAATTTAAGAGAGTCTCAACTGCATGTGGAACATAAAAGTTTAAGACTTATCCAAAATACTCTCTGATACTGCCTTGACCATAAGATAAGTAGCAGAGATAGTATCAGAGAGAGGATAGAGAGGACTGAGCAACTGGATCAAGTTTCTGATAGAAATAGTCAAGAGGTCTCTGGCTATTGCCATGTTTCTAGGTTAGAATACCCAAAGCACGCCCCTACTTTTTATACACATATTAATTAAATTCTAAATCATAGAATATCCCAAAGTAGGGGGGAAAAGCAGAGTGATGTTTTTAATTTAAAAAAAAAAACTTCCTCTATCTCTATTATTCACTTTATTTTTCAGGATTTCCCTTTAATGAAGGGATTTAGCTAAAACAGGAAACTCGGGTATCCATTACCAACAATATCCAACCAATCCCAAGAAATCTTGTAACAATTGAGAAGTTTTAGGTTTGGGGAATTGCTGGACTCCTTTTATTCTTTCTGGGTCTAATCACTTTCCTTTAGCAGATATTAAATATCCTAGAAACTTAAATGATGGTTGTGTTATTTCTAGTATTTTCTTACTCCCTTTATGTCCATGTTCAGCTAAAAAGATTAGTAACACACTAAAAGGAAGAACACACTAAAAGGTCATCTACATATTTTAGCAAAGAAAACCCATGTATAAAAGATAGATCTCTATGATCTTTGCTAAGGGGGTCTGAGAAAAGTATATAGGACTGTTAGTATATCCCTGGGGCATTACAGTCCAGGTATATTGTTGATTTTTCCATGTAAAGACAAACAAAAATTCTCTGTCTTTGTGTACTGGCATGCTAAACAAAGCACTACACAGATTCACAACACAAAAGAAAATACTATCCTGAGAAATGAAAGAGAAAAGGGTATAGGGATTTGGCACAAGAGGATGATGGGGAATTACTCTATTAATGATGGCTCTAAGATCTTGGACAAAATACTACCTTCTATTTCCAGGCTTTTTTTGAGACAGAGTCTCACTCTGCTGCCCAGACTGGAGTGCAGTGGCACGATCTTAGCTCACTGCAACATCTGCCTCCTAGGTTCAAGTGATTCTCCTGCCTCAGCCTACCATGTAGCTGGGATTATAGGTGTGCGTCACCACGCCTGGCTAATTTTTGTATTTTTAATAGAGATGGAGCTTCACTATGTTGGTCAGGCTGGTCTCAAACTCCTGACCTCAAGTGATCCACCCACCTCAGCCTCCCAAAGTGCTGGGATTACAGGCATCAGCCACCATACCCAGTCTCCAGGCTTTTTGAGTAGAATAATTGGAGTATTACAGGGATTAGTACAGGGTCTAATCCATCCTCATTTTAAATGCCCTTTGATGATAAAGGCATGTTGTGGAACATGGCATGTTGTGGAAGGGGATGTTGAGAAAGAGAGGGCAAAGGCTTTTTAAGATCTAACTGGACATCTATGGGCTCATCTGATTTAGTCAATATAATGTCCGCATTATCTGTTGCCTAGGGGACATCTAGGACTGAAGATAAGTACAGGGTCCAGTAGCTAATTTAGAAAGTTATGTAGTAATCATTTTATAAAAAGCTTCTGGTTCTTCTGGTAAGATTGAGAATTCTGAATAAGACAAAGTTCCTCCTCTTGAGAAAAGGATAGCAGCTTTTATTTTAATAGAAGTTCCCGACTCATCAGGTATGCTGGTGCATGGGGTACCAGTAAAAATGAATAATCAAGACATAAATTGTGTAGTTTCATGGGCAAAGGAATAGATAATGGTGTTTAACTGGTGGTATCTGAGACTTTTGCCATGGGAAGTTATTGCAGTCCAAGGCAACAGACAATTAATTGTGGTGGGCTTTAAGACTGATGCAGTTGCTCTAGTGTCAATAAGCATGAAAACTTTTTAATTATTTGTTAGTGCTGATACTTAGCCTTCAGAGCTCAAAGGTATTACAGGGAAAGCCTTTTTTTTTTTCTTCTTCTTCTTTTTGAGCCCTGTCATTCCTAATCTTCTTGGTCTTTTAATGGGGAATCTAAGGGTTTGGAAGTAATTTTAGATGTCAGTTTGGCTTTTAGTATTTTGCAATCTTTAACCTAATGTCCAGGCTTTTTGCAATAGTTTTAGACTCCTTTAGAAGAATTCTGAGAGTCTGTATTACTGGTTAATTATTGCAGCTATAAATTAATTATCCATCTAGCTTTTGATTGATGGGCCCTATTTAATTAAGGTTTGAGACAAGTGATTAGCCAAACTTACCAAGTACTTATGGTTTCTCAATTTAGCTATGCTCTCTTAGCGAATATGGCTAAGTCTTCATCAACACTATTGACAAACATGGAGTTTACTTTAGTGGCATCACTCTTTTTTGTGAGACAAAAATTTTCTTTGAATACACCTCTAGTCTATTATAATAATCATGAGCTCATTTGCCTTCTCTCTGAGCGCCACCCTGAATTATACTCTAAACCACTGGCTTTAGCAAAGCTGTGGGAATAGCTTTAATTATTTTGTCAGCAAATGTTTTAAGTTTTTTTCTGTATCTTGGGGAAGATTTAAATTTAAATCACCAGAAGGATTTTTTCATCTTCCCATTTTTGCCCAATAGTTTGCTCATTGTAGCCCTACGAGCAAAGCTATTAGC